ACAATTTAAAAATTTTGTTATTAAGAGATTCATGGGTTACCACTCCGATCTAAGTTGACCTTTGAATGTTAAGGCAAAGTCTACATATTACAAACCACATAACTTCACAATACATATGTGATGGCCTGCCCCTAATTGCTCTCCATCGGTATCCTATAACTGAATTGGCCCAAGACCATATTTCAGAGGCAAACTTGTGAGCCCAAGCACACTCGTATCAATTGAAAATCATTGTTTAGGTCTTAAAAAACCTTATTAATCTAGATATTATTTTCAGGCAACAATTTAATTGAAAATTGATCTTCATTACCAAGCCCTGGTAGCCGATATTCGGACAAATTTGTATTCCTTATGCAAAAGTTTAAGCTTTTGACTATGCCGTAGAAGAAAGATAAATCCCTGGCTCATTCATAAGCCCAAAATATATTCTTGAACCTCTCCCTTGAGTCAATATTAACTATGCGCTTCTACCTCCTTTTGAGACCGTTCGATTGGGAAGGTCCTTATAAAGTTCAACAAACGGTTTGCTTTTGCATATTCGATGGCTGCCTCCATTAAAAGATCTTTGGGCTGCCCATGAGTCCACTATTATTTGGCTGTCTAAACAAACAAATAGGAAGAGGGTTTTAAAGTTACTACGACTCCAGTTAGCACTAATCATGCGATAGCGGGATAATAACTTTGTTTTTTCAATTAAGTAATGTTTGTCGTGACTACCAGTAAATCAGTTATAAGATGTATTCATCCAATTTCGTTTAAGGTGATGAAGGACTGGTAGAAGTGGAATTTTCCCACAAATGATATGAGTTGGACTGACGTGGAAAAATTCTACTTCTACCAGTCCTTCATCACCTTAAGCGAAATTGGGTGAATACATCTTATAATAACTTTGCACTATGGTTATGTAAAAATATGATTGAATGGGTTCTCAATAGTTGTGAATCGTTTTGATGGATAAATCCTTATTCCCAATGAAAGTGAAGGACGGACATTGACCTTTCATGGACCTTAAGAAAAGGTTGTTCTGAAATCAGTCTCACACAGGAGTATTTCTCAGTTTCCAGTCTCATCGAAATTACATACTGAAGAACAGAGTGACCAAGAGTGTCAACGTAACAAGACTGGACCAAATGATATTGTTGGGGGGACTGTTTTTTCGTATGTAAGTGCATGAAAGAGGGACTGGTAGGTCGATCCGACCAGAAGAGGACGGATGAATCGCGTTGTACTGCAGCCGTTTGGCTTGTATACGACGTTCAGGTTGACGCAGACCACGAGACCTCATCTCTCGTTTCGGGTGAAAAGGGACTAAGCTTTTGTCCATCATTCGATAGACATCATCATCTAATTCCTGTAAAAGTCTTACGTTTACACTAGGGAAAAAAGACTATCCGGCTCTATCTTAGCTCTTATATAAAGTGAACGTCGTATAAAAGCTCGATTGATAGATTGAGGGAGAGAGAGGGTGTTGAGCCGTCGGCAAAACGAAGTCGGCTCAAATTGTCTGCTCAGTGATGGTTCTAATTTCACTCAAATTCGTCCAACATGTTAGAGTAAGCTGATCAACCAAATCAGACATGTCAGATTACACAGCCCCAGTCATGCCTCTCTTTAGAGGGTTAAACGTTAATGACCCTAGATTGAGAGGTTAGGACAAGTGGCTTCGTAACAAGACTTAAGTGCTTGCAAGCTTACATCTCACTATCTCAAGCATACTTGCTTGTAGACTTATACAGACACGGTGAGGGCTTTTTCTTGAATCATTAAGCCTTGACGACCAGGGCCTGACATTAGTTTTTTGAGCACCGATTTAGGACCGCTATTGTGTATTGACGTCCAGACACATACACACAGAGACACTCGAGCAAAGGTAGCAGGACTTGTATGAAGGATAATTAGACAAACCACTCTATATCTATCCATGGTTATAGTTTTATTTGGCTTTATTGAGTCTATTTAAGAGGTAAGATAGAGCCGGATAGTCTTCTCGCTCTGGTGTAACGTGAGACTTTTAGAGGAATGCAACCCAGCTCTGATGACGTCCATCAGATGATGGACAAAACTCAACCCGTTTTCACCCGAAACGAGCGAGGTGGTCTCGTAGACTGCGTCAACCTGAGCGTCGTATAAAAGCCAATCGGCTGCAGTACAATGCGATTCAACCGTCCTCTTCTGGCGAGATCGACCTATGAATCTCTTCTTCATGCACTTTCGTACGAAATGAAAGTCGCCCCGACAATGTTATCTCAGGAGATTCATAGAAACCTAGTTTCTCTTCGTATTAAAAATGATATTGTTTCTAGGTGAAGGTTTTCAAACAAATTCTATTTATGAAGAGAAACTGGGTTTAGGTGAATCTCTTGAGATAAGTATTGTTAGGGGGACTTTCAGTTCGCATGAAAATGAGTAAAGAAGAGATTCGTTGGTCGATCTCACCAGATGAGGACGGATGAATATTGTTGTACTGCAGCCGTTTGGCTTTTATACGATATTCAATTTGACGCAGTCTACGAGACTTCCTACCTCGTTTCGAGGGAAAACGTGCTGAGCTTTCGTCCATCATTTGATGGACATCATCAGAGCTGGATTTCATTTTTGTAAGAGTCTCACGTTAACACTAAAGCAAGAACACTATCCGGCTCTATCTTACTACTTATATAGACTCAATAAGGCCAAAATAAAATAAAAAACCTAGATAGATCGATATAGAATAGTTCAGTTAATTTTCTTTTATACTAGTCCTGTTATTTTTGCTCGATTCTATGAGTATGTGTATTTGTGCGTGTTAGTGCCTATATGCAATACGGTTGCTAAATCAGAGTTGTCAAAGTTTTAATCTCAGGTTCTGATCCTCAAGACTTAATGACCCAAGAGAAAGTCTTGACTGAGACTGCGTAGGTCCGTAAACAAGAATGGTTGAGATGATGAAATATGAGCTTCTAAGCATAAAAATCAAGTTACGAA